TAGTAATAATAGTCCGCAGCTTCTTCTTATTATTAGTATTACTCGTGTTCTTGGTTTTATGATAAGTAGTATGATTAGCATTCGCATGTCTATGTTTATTCGAAGTATTAGAATTACGTTTCTATTGTTATGTTTCATATTCTTCAAATTTGAATTAATATTATGATTAGAAGTTGTCCTCCTCCTCCTCCTCCTCAACCCTCCTCTTCCTCCTCCTCCTCCTCCTCCTCATCCTCCTCCTCCCCCTCCTCCTCCTCCTCCTCCTCCTCCTCCTCCTCCTGTTTTTCCTCCTCTCCCGCCCGCCCGCCCGCCCGCCCGCTTCCTCCTCCTCTTCCTCCTCCTCTTCCTCCTCCTCCTCCTCCTCCTCGTCATCCTCCTCCTCATCCTCATCCTCATCCTCATCCTCATCATCATCATCATCATCATCATCATCATCATCATCATCATCATCATCATCATCATCATCATCATCATCATCATTATCATCCCCCATCTCTTCCTCTCCTCCTTCTCCTCTTCTTCCCCCTACTCCTCTTCCTGCTCATCCTCCTCCTCCTCCACATCATCATCATCATCATCATCATCATCATCAGCAGCAGCATCATCATCGTCATCATCATCATCAGCAGCATCATCATCATCATCATCAGCAGCAGCAGCATGATCATCGTCACCATCATCATCATCATCATCATCATCATCATCATCATCATCATCATCATCATCATCATCGTCCTCAACATCATCAGCATCACCAGCATCATCAGCAGCATATCCATCAGCATCAACAGCAGCATCGCCACCATCAGCATCATAATCATCGTAAGTATCATCAGCATCATCCTAAGCAACATCGTCATCGTCAGCATCACCACCACCATCATCATCGCCATCGTCATCACAATCACCTTCATCACTAGCGGCATCATCATCAGTATCATCATCATCACCATCATCATCATCATCATCATCAGCATCATCATCATCATTATCATCATGTGATGCTGCTGATGATGACGCTGCTGACGCGGCCTGCGTGAGCTTAGAGCTCCTACCGCCTCGCATTGAATTCTACTCAAGCCTACTCATAAGAACCTCAGCGGATGTAGAAGGAATTGTAGGAAAAGGCGCACGAGACAAATAACACCCACATCATGAATGATAAGTCCAAATTGGCGCTGACGTTCCCGAAATTGGCGTTGGCGTGCTGATGCCCCAACATGCGGTTGATCCAGGAATGTCGATTTTCATGCCGCGAATCCCAGTCGAGAGCCGCTTGATTCCAAGAACGATCCTGCGCTGCAGAATACGAATCATATCCTCCACTCCCAGCACCATGGCGAGAACTTTCCAGGGCGGCCTTGGTGCCCAATGGTGGCAGACATGGTACGTTCCCGCTCCGAATCCCTGTGCGTGCTTACCACCACAACCAAATGTTCTGGGTCCCGGCTGATGGCCCACATGAGGTGGCCCACATGATCGTACATTCTGCTCAGAATGTAAACATCGATGTCGGCCATGCCTGCCTTGGCGATTGTCTCCCGCAAAACACGATTAGAACGGCGGTGGTGTTTCTCGTCGGTGTCCCCCCAAACACGGGGTACTCGAAGTGCCGATTTCGCCGCCTTCGTGAAAGCAGATTGCGTGCCCAACTCACGATGTTTAAAGTCGCTCACGTACAGTCCATGAGCCCACGCACCAAGAGTAACTGGAAGTCGCACCTTTGCACATCACCTTCAATTTCCTCGCTCGGACCACCCGCGGACAGTTCCGCAGAGACCGCCGGCTCTCAATGGCCGAATTGCAGATATGGCGTTTGAAAAGGATATCGGCATGGGAGGTGCTTGCCGCCCTGACCATGGAGCCCAACCCCTTGAAGGTCGAACCTTGCGGTTTCCCCACGTGGTCTGGAAGCGGCGTGGCGCCCGCGCTCCCGACGTGGCGATTCAACTGGTAAACAAGACGATTATCTGGAAGTCTCTGTCCTGCTCTGGCCAGCGCGGTCTGCAATCGAATGCGGATATCCAGGAAGCCGCACGCATAGTGCGCCGAATGAACATGCTGCCGCAGAACAACACGACAGGCATATACTGATCATCCAACTTGTCACCCCAACGATCACGGCACGAGGTCCACACCGGCTCAATGCAATGATGCAGAGCTGCAACACATAATGCTGGACCGTACCGTGAACCCTGCGGGATTTCTCTGGTGATGCGGCTCGGCGCTGCCTCGACGCCACCCAACCGAAGGTGCAGTAATGAACCACGCGTTTCACGAACGAACCACGCCGCGATGGCGCGGCCCACGCCTTTGTGCAGGAGCGCTTCAAGCAGGAACGAATGGCCGACCTCGTCGAAGCACTTGGGTATGTCGGTGACTCCAAGAATAAAGGGTACTCGCCACTCCATGCTCGTCTGTCCCAGAAATCTGATCAGCAGAGCAAGGCCGCTCACCAGGTACCCTGGTTCGTACACACAGTGCCACGCCCCTGTTTCCA